GTCAATGCTCTTACATGTTTTGGGTTTGGTTTTCTTTTTTCAGAGAAACAAACATAACAGATGTTGGTGTTGGTCAGATATTAGAAAGCATCCACATTTCAGAATGAAGTTACCTTATTCTGTAGTCATGTCAAAATCATGCAAATACAGAATCGGTTCAATCCAGAGAGTGAAGGACAAGGAGGAATGGTTTTGAACTAAGAGTGGAAGTTAGGATAAAAATTCTTGGGCATTAGGTGGTGAGGCACTGGCACAGGTTACCCAGAGAGGATGTGGATGTCCCATCCCTGGAAGTGTTTAAATTACGGATGCTTCGGGTTGAATGGTGCCCTGAGCAACCTGATCTAGTGGGTGGCATCCCTGCCCACAGCAGAGGGGTTGGCACTAGCTGTCCCTTCCAACCCAAGCCGTTCTATGATGACTCCCTGAGCTTGTGTCTTAATCTCTAAGCTGTCTGAAAAAAAATATTCATAAACATGTTTACCTTGCTTCATTTTCCAGCAAGTCCTTTGAGTGAGGTTTTCAAGCTGAGACTGGATGTGGCACTTAGTGCCATGGTCTAGTAACAACAGTAGGGTTGGACTTGATGATCCTTGAGGTCTCTTCCAACCTGACTGATTCTATGATTCACTCATTTGCATTTGAGTCCAGATATCCAACCCTTTTGTGGGGCTCAGTATTTCTGGTTGGCAGTCACTGTGTGCAAATATTAGATCTAGCCATTACTGAGCATAGATCCTTAAAATATCTGGGAATAAGCGCCCCCATTTCTTATTTCAGAAATATATCCTGCAGCTGAATGACTGTATCATAGGATCAACTCTTTCCTTCAGTCGAGAGAGAAGGAAAAGGGCATCCTTTTAAAATTCCTGCAGTCTTTGTTTTTGCATATTACAAAGTTAACTGCTGAGTGCGACTCATCAGTTAGTAGATGTAAGAAGACTATCTAGCAAGAATGAACTTTTCTCTTTGGAGTAAGGTGCATCCTTTGTTCTCTGCTATATAATAATAATGTTGCCAAATTGGAATGATAATACTGAATTTATACCATTTTTATTTTAAAAAAAAACCTTCTGGAAAATAGTTGGAAAAGGACCTAGAAAGTGGCAATTAGAAGTTTGCCCTTTGAACAGTGACCCCAATGGGCTATAAACTTTCTCCATTGCAAAAGTCAAGACAAGTAAGTGTTGGATAGCTGTGGACAATCCTTACAGTTCTACATGTTGGGAATGAAAACTGGTTATGTATTAAAGGTTTTCTTTAATTCTCTTATAGAGAAATCTTACCTAAGTTAGTTTACCTCTTACCTCAAAGAAGAAATTGTCAAGGAATCCTCACTTCCCATCTGTTACCTAAAACCTAACCTGCAGTAGAAACTTGACAATACAATTACAGATTCTGGACTTCATACATACTTATTACAAAGGTTAATGCTTCCTTCAGTCCTGATACTGCAGGACACATCTACTTGGTTATTTACAGTTAGTTATTTGCAACCTTATGCAGCTGTTTTCCTTAACTCCAAGCATGTTCTTGTTGGTGCTATTTCTCAGCAAGTTGCAGAGAAAAATCTTCACTGACCAAACCAATCTCTTGTCAATGTAGCTTACTGGTACCAGCATTAAAGGTTTTAACTTAAAGCCATAGAAAACGTAGATCATTTGCTACGTGTTAAATTGACCACTGAAATGGAGTCGTTATGTAAAAAGAATAATGAACTGTTGCTGCAGATCTTCCAGTCAGAGATTTGATGTTAGCAGACTTCCAGCTGTTCTTGTTAATGAAGAAATTCCCTGGTTAAAATTGTAATTAGTTTTAGAACAGCTTCATCTCACACAATTAGTGTGTTTTGATTGCCCTGAAATAACAGAACTGACTGTTCATCAGCTGTGCAGTATGTGCATCAACAGAAGAAACTAGTAGCTGAAATTACAGAAAATAATGAAGGTTTTGGAGCCCTTTTAGTATCATGAGTTCCTTCATGAAAGCGCACAGAGCAGAGAGGCCTCAGCTGTACAAGGAGCCTGTCTGTTATTGGACAGGATTCAGACTGAGAGAAGAATCCTTGGCCCTTCTTCAGAAGGTGAGAAGAGGGAGGAGATTTAATACCAATTTTATAGTGCATTAGTTGGAGCTGATAATTTAGGATGGCATGTTTCTTTCTTTGGTACAGGCTCTTATCCCTGTGTTGACTGACATTAACAGCACAATTCAGTTGTCCAATTCCAAGTTGCTGGTGGCATTTAAGGAGCATTAGTGTGCTCAGAACATCCACGTGGCAGATGCAGAGTGAGAGCTGTGCTCTGAGCTGGCTGCTGGGCACCACGTGGCATGTTCAAGGGCATTTTGTTTTGTGCCCTACATGGTATTCTCACTAGATGCCTATATGTAGACACCAAATAAATCTACCAGAAATGACTGAAGTGATCATACATTTGCTAATGCAAATTAAGCATTTCTATAGTTTCTTCTTTCACCACCTTTGCAAAACCAACATGTAGAAATAGTCAACATCTTTCAGTACAGGGAAAGTTATTTTGTTGTGTAGTGAGAGGTTTGTACTCCATACTTGGTTTTAGAGTTGAATAAACATACTGCCTGATAGATTAAATACTGTGTTTTTACACTAAGCATGCTGAATCCAGACTCATGCTTAAATATGACATTTTCATCTTAGAAAAATCAGTTTTCTTCACCTGTATGTTTGTCTTTGGTTCTGAATCTGTTGATTAACTTCTTCCTCAGAATCTTTGTCTGTTGTAAACATGTTCCAAATTATAAGATAAATAAATGAACAGAAAGCCTTTATTGTATAATTCTTTTAAATAGCATGTACTAGGGTAGGTCTTACTACAAATCCTGAACTGAGTTTAAGAACACATGTGTTTAAGAACAGCTATTAATGTGGACCAATGGATAGGATTCATTGTGTACTCAGTGGTATCTGAAGTAATTAGTATGTTCTGATGAACCAGTAGTTCTGTTGATAGCTTTTTTTTTTCTCTTGTTTTTTTCAGTGTAGTCTTCCCTCTGCCCATACCTTCCTTTTAAAAGACATTTTTCATTTTTAAACGAAGTCTCTAAATTTCTCGAGCTGTGGATTTTAAAAATGCCTTGTCTCTGTGCTAGGCCTCCTTGAAATGCTAATTTACCTCATGTTACATCCAGGGAACATTAGCAGTCTGTAATTGGCCCTTACGCTTTTCTCACATGAGAAATGCCTTCTTGGGCATCTCTGAGGAGCTGGAACACCTGCTTGAGCAGCTCATGTGGGAGTGGTGGTCCAGGCACTTCTTGTAAATGGGGAAAAGGGGAAATAAAATAATAACCTTTCTGCTTAGAATGAGCCTAACAGTTTGATTCTGTTAAGTAGAGATGGTTTGATTGCCAGTGGTGAAGAGCATGCTGGTACCAGTCCAGGGAATAGGTCTGTAGTCTGGGTTTGCACAGGGTAACTGCCAGGGCTCTTGTGAAGTGCTGATGGGTAGAGCTGAGCTTTGAGAGTGAAACGAAGTGTTTACCCAGTTACATACATTATTTGTAGTGCTGAGGGCAGTGCTACTTAGAGAAAAAAAAAACATTGCAATCTTTATTCTTCCCAAAAGCTTGGAAGTCTGAAGTTGGAAGGGATTTTGGGTCTTGCAGCACTTTTGTTCTAAGCTGATGTTTCATCAGCTGGACCACTAAACTAATGATGAGGTATCAAAGGTTCTTGCTTATAAGATTCTTATGAAGTGATAGACATTGACTCCAGATGTCACAGATTTAAATTAAGTTTTTCTTCTATGTAATATAACTCGGTGGAGATAATTCTGCAGCTGTGGACAGGAATGCTGGTTCAAGTGCAGAGGAGGGGAAGGAAAGGTTAGTTCAGGCTTTTCTTTGGTATGTGTAGCATTCCAGTGATGGCTCCTGGGTTCGAACTCTGCGAGTTAAAAATCTGCTGTCCATAGGCACCTAGTTCTTTCACTGGCTTAAGGACTTCTTGGTGGGAAAGATGGGTATCTTTACAGGCACTTTGGCAGAGGTGATAAGCAGTAAAATGAGGATTGGAGGTTTTTTTGGAGGATTGGGTTTATTTTCCCCCAGTTCTGGTCAAAAATGAGAGAAGGAATTTAGAATCTTGAACATGGTTAGCAGTAGGATGAGCTACCATAGCATTCTTCACATTTGAAGAGTGGCCTTGAGATTAAAGATTCATGTTTAATTGCTAATTTTGAGTTGCCTCTTAACTCTCTTGTTACTTTGCCTGTTGTCTTTGTTTCTGTGCCTTATTTGGACTCTTTTGGAAGCTGAGTACCAGGTGAATTCTTCTTTGCTGAAACTAAATGCATTTAAATAAATTTCTTGTGTTATTGGTCATCTGAAGAGGTTTTTTAGTGGCATAGTATATCATCACAAATTCTTGAGAAACAGATTTCTAAGCTCTCACATCATAATTGTGTATAGTTTACGAAACAAATCCCTCTGCAGACATCATTTATAATCTTTATAAAAGATATTGTTTTTAGGATAAAAAAATCCCTCTTCACTGTAACTAAATTAAACAGGTTGGTGGTTTGTAACAGAGTTGTCATACTTTTTTCAAAAGTTTGAAGCTGTAGAACTAGAAATATTTCAAAAGCAAATGCTTTCATAATCTGTCTATTAAGCTAGAAGTTGAAGGCTTTTTTTCTGAACAGACAATATAACCTGAGTAATTTCAGCTGTCTCCAAGAAGCTGTCTAGTGCATTACCTTGAAACTTGATATGTTGAAGACTGAAGTTGTTTTTATTAAACTTTTAACATCCTAGGAATCTTTCTAAGTGACAGTTTTTGGAAATACTCATTAATTTTTCTGATGTGCTCTCATTCTTAAATAGCTTATTCAACCTATAATCTGAAATCTTTTTGAAGGTGTGCTGTAACACATAATACCAAGAGAATTAAATCATCTGAGGATGATTGCTGTACGTGGTTTCATTGTACCTGACTTCCAAATGTGCATTTGTCTATTTAGGTTCAGACAAAGAAGGAGGAAACTTTGCCACCAGCACTCAGTCAAAACATTCCAGCTTTCTATTTCCCTCGAGGATGTCCTAAGGAAAAAGTGAACATAGATGCTGTGATTGCCAAAATTGAGAGAACTTTCTCTGACTTTCCAAATGAGAGGGCAACGTTAGAAGATATGGGGAAGGTTGCAAAGGTGAGAACTTGCTGTCTGTATTTTAGTACTGTACACCTATGTAAAGCAAAGACGAGTTCCATGTGCTTTGTTGTCTTGCATTATGTCTCTTCATCTCCTATGAGTTTGGATTCAACAATGTTCTACGCTGTTGATAGCACAGTTGTGTGGACGTTTTTGCATTAGCTCTGTATCAAGTGACCTTAGAGAAAGAAACAAATGTTAAACCAAAACTTGAGCTATGTTTTTTGCTGCATAAACAACCAATTACTGAAGGACATATAGTATGTTCTGCCTTCTGTATTGACCAAGAGACTTAAGGTAAAAGCACTGCTAATAGGTGTTTTTTCTCATTTGGCAGTGTCATATGGTGCCATTGTAAAGACAGGATGGTTTGGTAACTTCAGATTATAGCCCTAGTTATTACTGAAGAACTCGTTTGGAATTATGGTGGAGTGACAAGATAGTGAGTTTAGAAAGGTGCAAATATTTTGAAACTTCTGTTTTGTTATATTGAATCAATGCTTGAAATACCACTGCAAGTCATGGTCTTGGTAATGAGTCTAAAGTTCTTTTCCTTGTTCCTATCACTTTGCATTTAAAGCCCAGGGTCTAGAAAAGAGAAACTTTTTTCTTTTCACAAGACTTTTCACAAGAGCAGGACTGGGGGTTCAGAAACTCCTAGTTTGCCTCACCAGAACTGTTTAACTGCTAAGCTGAATGATAGGATCCATGTCTGCCACAGCTCCTTCCAACACAGAAGTGGGGAGGTGTGGAAGAGACCCTTCCCTTGAAGCAGGGAAGGTGGAAGGGTCCAGTCACCTTCAATTCTGTGATCAAAGGCACCTTAAGAACAAGGCAAAGCCCATCTGCCTGAGGATGTCAAACTCACTTCCTTCTTATTAACTTGAAGTAGTGGCTCAGCTATTGCATGTGAAGTAACTGTGCTTTTGCTCCAGTGACCTGATCCATCTTGCAGCCTCCACAATCTTCCCTGAGATTCTCAGCGATGCCAGCGTGTTGGAGTGCTCCCGGTTGTAGTCAGGTCTAGGTGTAACTGTTGAGTATCCTGGAGCCAGATACTGCTGCTCAGGCAAGTTGGCCTACTGCTTCAAACTGGGTAGAAGATGTGCCATGCACATGCAAGGATACAGATGAGTTGAGCCATCCTCTGAGCTGGACAAATGTAATTTTGTTCCAGTTCAGAAGTTGTGTAACTGTGCTGTCTTGAGCTTAGCTCAAAGATAGCCAGCTCTTGAGCAGAGCTTATTAACGTGGACCCTGTCCAGCTGCTTGGAGCATGGACAGAGCAGACACGTGACTGCATTCATCTCTTAGGAATGCTACAAGTTGCTCTGTGTTTGGCTTTGAGGCTGTTGGATTTCAGCCTAAAGCAGTTGCTCAAAATGGATTATTTCATAAGGTCCAGTTGATTTCAGAAACAGTTTGTAAAAAATCTGTGCCTGAACGTTTTCTCAACACTTGTAAAATGTAATTTTTGAGAACTCTGTAAGTTAAGGGAGTAACTCTCAGATAAGCAGTGAATAAACTGACTTGCTGTGTGCTTTAATTGCAGGCCTGTGAATGCCCACTTTACTGGAAAGGTCCTTTGTTTTACTGTGCTGGAGGGGAACGAACAGGATATGTGTCAGTTCATAAATTTGTTGCAATGTGGAGGAAGTAAGTAGATTACTTTTTTTAGAAGTACTGCATTTTTGTCATTGAAATGTGATATTTTAATCTCTGAATGTGATCCCATCTGTAAAGGGGAATAAAACACTTTCCCATAATCAACCATTGACAGCAGACTTGTACCTGGGAAAATGTAACTAAATAATACTTTAATACTTTAAACAAATCTTTATTTACAGGGTTTATCAGCTTTAAAATGTTTGGTAAATGACTGTCTGTTTATGGGAAAAGTGAAAGCCTTGACCCTACTTTTTAGATACCAGTTCTGGACAAAATGATTTTTATTCTTTCTGGTTCTCATTCCATGTCCTTTTATGTAATCCAATCACATGGTGTACTCGCCCCCTTTAGTTTAAATGTTTGAGACAGTATTGCTTTGGTAAGTTCACTTGGAGCATAGTTTGACACTTGTAATTAGCCTTTGAATGAAATAATGTGGCTGTGGTTTCACTGGCCTTGCCCTGCCTGCATGAGGCAGCAGGAGCAGTTTGCTGTGTAGAGGATTAAATGGAAATATTTATATTCCAGAATACTCCAGACCTGCTATGATGATGCTGCGAAGTTTGTTCATCTTCTGATGAACCCTGGATGCAACTACTTGGTGCAAGAAGACTTCATTCCTTTTATACAAGTAATTTGCAACTGAAACTAGTTCTGGGAAAAAACCAAAATTATAAACTGGCAAAGCCCTGAATTCTCTGAACTAAATGTACTTTTTAATGGTCATCATTAAAGTTTATTGATAATATTTAGTGCCACTCACTTTGGTTCACTGAGATGCAAGTGAGTGGCTTGTTTTACAGTTAATCATTTTGATTAAGGTGAGGTGTTTAAGTGCTACAGAAAGATGCATGGACTTAAAATTGCTTGCAGGAATAGCACATGTTTCAAAATCTTATGTTTAGGAAGGCAGTTCAAGTTGTGTAAGTCAAGGAAGCCTTTGGAGGGCAAGGGAAAAGTGGGATGTGAATTCAAGGCCTTATACAGCTTCTCTGAAGGAGCAGCAAACATCACATTTAGTCATGACTGAATAAAACCTGAACTGGCTTTTACTGAATCCTAGTCAGCCACAGGATTACAAGCTAATGCAGTCAGCAGTGCTGAAAATCTAAAACCTATCTAAAATACAGGGAAAAAATCCTAGAATATTCCTAAAATATGTGAAAGCTTTTGTTTAGCTTGGGTTCTTTAAAAGATAACTCTTTTTTAAAAGGTTAGTAGTGTGTGATCTACATGAAGCGTGTTGTAAATGAAGTTATCATTAATTATTGTGGTACTTAATTTGAACTGTTTTAGTTAAGTAAGCAGATGTGCTATTTGTTTCATATAGTCACTAATTAATACTGCTTGGGATATTGTTATTCTTTTTTTGTTGTAGGATGTAGTGAATAGTCATCCAGGCCTTTCATTTTTGAAGGAAGCATCTGAATTTCATTCTCGGTACATTACAACAGTAAGTGATTTGTACTTGGAAAAGCTTGCCCTTTTTTTTTTTTTTTTTTTTTGTTAAATAAGAAAATCAAAATTAAGACTAGTCAATATGTCTGAGCATCTTTGTCCCTTGAGATAAGCAGAGCTAGAGTAGGCTGTCAGTCTTCATTTCTACATAGCTAGAAATCTTGTGAAGAAAGAGCCTAGTTCTTAAACATCATACTTTTTAACACTTATAAGAAATTGCTGAATTTAATACTAGTAAGAGAAGCACTGAATTGCAATAGTGTAGAGTAAGTTAATGAAGATTAAATGAAGCACAGGCTGTTATCTTAGACACTTGATCATGGCTGTGGACTGTACTCATTAAAATCCTGACCTTCGTCTGGGATTAATTAAATTAAATTTTGAATGAAACATCTATATTAATATGATTATGTTCAGTATTAAGTAAAATAATGATTATGTTGAAGCTGCTTGCCACTTTGCTCTCTGGGGACTTTTCTTTCTAAGAAGGTTTTATACATGAGAAGTTCCATTTCTTTCTTCCTAGGGTTATGTGACTGAAGTATTCTTTCTGTACCCAAGGGAAAAATCGGTGACATGAAATTTTCTCAACTGTAGACTTAGACAGCTGATTCCACTAAACTCTCAAAAGATTACAGTTCTTCAAAATTACACTCAGTGCACTTTCTTTGTGCATGAGAAAACTAGCTTAATGAATTTTCTCCAACAAAAAACATGCAGAGTTGATCATCTTTTATCCAGCAAATACTTGCAAATAGTATCACCCAGGCTGAAATTGTGGAACATTTTTTGTAAGTGGTTGATTTTTTGGTTCCTCGTATCCTTCTTGCAGAGACTTACTGCGGCCTATCAAGTATGTCCTGCTGCACTAGGTTTTGTTGCCTGTTATAATGGTTTGGTGAGCTTCCAGAACTTTCTTGTCAGTTGTGACTGCAGAAAATGTTCTGCCTGTGAGCTGTTTTTGTTTCTTAATGGATTCTGGATTGTATCAAAGCCTGCTCTGCTTAAAATGGAGAAAGCTTGCTGCTTGTCCTGGAGGACTGTGAGAAGAAAAAGATCCTGCCATTTCCAGTTACTTTTCTTTGGAGGAACAGCTTGTTTGAGGTGGCCTGAACCTAGCAATATTGGATAAATTAGTGCTGGCAGTACTTTTCTGATGAATTTAGTGTAATCTTCAACAGAAATCAGTGTTTAATCAAAATCCCAAAAGTAAACTAGTATAATATAGCAACAATATTTGGAACACTATTCTGCATTCTGTTTAAGGAATGGCAGGAGCACTTTGCCCTTTCTTGTCATATTTTAGGATGGTGTAGCTGTTGCCCAATACAATCTCCTAAAATTCTGTCCTGCAAGTTATTACTGATGATTATGGATTATTTTACCTAAGATGAAATAAGACATTTCATAGCTATTCAACTGGCTTTAGCTTGCTACATGAAGCTCTTATCTAAAGGATACTTCAGTTACAAACCAAAGGAGCCATTCTGCTGTGTTTGTATATGATTACATGTGTCATGTATGCATATACATTGCATATGTCTCTTTAGCACATGTCTTGTAAGAGTTGTTTGTCCATGAAAGCAGTCTGCTCTGTCTTCTAGGCTATAGGTCAGTCTAGTGGTAAGGTTAGGTACATATGGCCAAGATGGAGCTGAAAGATGTTGAAAACATTTGCCCTGACAAATGAGATACTACATTTATTCTGCAAGGATGTTATGTGCACATCTGAACTGTGAATTCTTGAAACTGTAATTTTTGTATTGCACCATTTCCTCTCCCTTCTGACAAAGCACTGTGCAGCACACTAAAGAAGACAATACTCTGCCTCAATTCACTTTAGAAAACACTTTGTCTGTTCCCAGTTGTCTTTACGAAATACTCAATTTTGTTTTTATTTTTAGACCAGTTAAAATGTACAACAGATGAGATAATGACATGCAGATGGATTAAGTTGCAAAGCTAAGGCAAAAACCTTTTTAGAAAAAATTGCTTTGTAGTATAAGCCAAAAATGGGTCTTCCCTAAACTCACAATTAGAATTAAGCTAATTAAGTTTCAGAAGTAGGCTACTCTATTCTCCTTTCTGGAGTTATTGAACCAGCTGTTCATGTTCAAAGAAATAGCTGTAGATTGCTGCTCTACAGTATAAAGTTTTATTTTAAAACTTAATAAATAAATAACTTTCTATTTGTAATTTAGAAATTACTGGTGTGTTTAAACTAATGATTTACTTTGTGATTAAAGTCTGAAGTGATGAAAAACTTAGTCTTTAGTTGGGAGGTTATTTTAACTGGAAGAAAGGGGTTCCTGAAGAGATTGGGGTTTTAGCTAGTAACTGTTGCAAATGAAATATTACACATGCAATATCAAGTCTTGCCAATTATCGGGTATAATCAATCACTAATTAAGCAGTTATATTTCATAATATGTTTAGCTTTGTCTGCTCTTGTTAGTGGTGAATGTATATCCAGTTGACTTAAGTCTAACCAATTGAGGTGAAAACTGAATTCAGTTAAGTAACAGAAAAAACAAAAAAAGAAACAGAAAAAAGGCTTTAAAGTCTTATGTTTGTAAACTAAAAGCAAGCAAATTACACTGAATGCACGAGTTGTCCAAAATAGCCATAGAACCATTAGGGCTGGGAAAGACCTGTAAGATCATTGAGTTGATGCACATATAAAACTGATTTAAACAAAAGCATGGGACACTGACAGAATCACAAAAGCAGTTAGGTTGGAAGGGACCACAGTGGGTCATCTGGTCCCACCTCCCTACTCCAGCAGGGCCACCCTAGAGCACATGGCTCAGGGTTGTGTCCAGATGGTTCTGGAATATCTCCAGTGAGGGAGAATCCACAACCTCTCTGGGCAACCTGTTCAGTGCTCAGGGACTGCACAGGAAAGTAGTTCCCTCATATTCAGGTGGAACTTCCCGTGCATCAGTTTATGCCTGTTGCCTCTTGTTTTATTGGCTTCTACCACAGAAGAGCCTGGCTGCATCTTCTTGGCTCCCCCCTCCCCTTTTAGATACTTGTATACATTGAGTCTCCCTCTCACAGTTGTCTCTTCTTGAGGCTGAACAGCCCCAACTCCCTCAGCCTTTCCTCATCACTGAGGTGCTCCAGTCCCTTCAGCATCTTCCTTGCTCTCCCCTGGACCTGCTCCAGGAGCTCCATGTCCCTCTGGTCCTGAGGAGCCCAGAACTGGACACAATCCTCCAGGTGTGCCCTCACAGGGGCTGAGCAGAGAGTCAGGATCACCTCCCTGCCCTGCTGGCAACACTGTTCTTAGTGCATCCCAGGATACATTGGCTTTCTTAGCCACAGGGACACACTGTTGACTCATGGACAGCTTGTTGTTCACAAGGACCCCCAGGTCCTTCTCTGCAGAAGGACCTGAGGGTCAATTGAACACATTTGTTTCTGGTTCCAGTATCAATCATGGCACAAGAACCATCATCCTCCTTCTGCAGATTGTTTTGATCTTGACTTAGAAAACATTAGTGTACTGCATCTAATGCTGTTAGCAGTTTTTTCCCCAAGTTACTTCAAATAGAATAAAACTAAATGGGGAAACACAGATTCTTTCAGCACCTGCAGGAAGTAACTCTGTCAAATGTTGATTTGTTGTGTTTGTGGACTTCAGAAGTAGCAACATCTGCTGCACTCTGATCCTTAAAGAGTCCCAATCTATTTTTGTAAGTTCATTTATGAAGTAAAACAGTCTTACTGCAAACACAGGTCTTTAAATCTGAAGTAATAAGATATATTAATAGGTTTATGAGATGATACCCTGTAGGTCTGGAAAACTGAGGTAGTGAAATTGCCAAGAGACAAGTTTTGGCTAGCATACAAGTATTGTGCACCGTTACTGAGTGAGATATATGGGCACTACAGTGTGGAAATAAGATGTACCTAGGTGAATTTAGATATAGATTTGGAAATGGTTTTGTAATATGACACAAGAGAAGCATCAACCTGCTAAGTAATAAGGAGAATAGAAATAGTGGAAAGGTGGAGTTCTATAATGCAGCTGAACTAAGATATCTGAAAAACGTTTGGGAGGGTATTTAGTTATTATACCTAAGATTTCTTTCCATTTTCTGTTTCTTGCAGGTCATACAGAGAATATTTTATACAGTAAATAGGTCCTGGTCTGGGAAAATAACTTGTAACGAGCTCAGGAAAAGCAACTTTTTGCAGGTACATCATATCTAAAATTTTGTGAGACAGATATTTCTACCAGTTTTTAAACTGCATGAACTAAATGCTTAAGTAACATAGGTAGCATTTCTTTCTTTTCCAAAAAGTGGTAAAGACCCAATTGCATTAATACTCATACACTAGGATATGTTTAAATGCAATTTCTGTTTATCTAGAGCTACATATATATACAAATGTGTTTAGCAGAAGTCAGGCTGATCTCCTCATTCTTCTGTGAATGCATCAGCTTTCTCCCTCATGTGTTCAGTGTTTGCTGTCATGCTGTATGGTGTGCATTGTCCCTGAAGATAAAAATTATTCCACTGAAATAGCATTAGAGATTAACTTGGTTATGGGAACTCAGATCATTCAACAAATGTCTAACAAACTCTTTAATGTGTTCTATTTATCCTTCTGATAATAGAATGTGGCATTATTGGAAGAGGAAGCTGATATTAACCAGCTGACAGACTACTTCTCATATGAACATTTTTATGTTATCTATTGCAAGTTTTGGGAGCTGGATACAGACCATGACCTCTTTATTGACCGGAAGGATTTAGCTCGACATAATGATCATGGTATGACAAATGAAGCACCTTTGTTTACGTGTATTAAATGACCCATAAAGTTGCAGCTGAGGACGTGGTTAAAGGCCAAGGCTGGTGTTCATGAGTTTGTTGGTATAGCTGATCCTGCTGACTCAGTAAATAAGAGCAGGACATGTCATCTGTGATGCCTTGTGCCCAGCAATACTAGATTTGAAGAAAACTCTGAATTTGAATGCTAATCTTGGCAAAGAAGTGGAGGAAAAGTCATGTGAAGTATTGGTGTATTTTAAATGGTGATTTTTGGGATATCTTGGATACAATCCATTTTACTGATATTATTACATTAGCTTAACTTTTATAGCATGGAAAGAGTAGAAAAGGCAGAGACACATTCAGGTGCTTTGCTTATTTTAAAGTTTTACTAACTCAGCTGCAGTACATTTTGTATTAATACTATTTAGCAGCCTTACACTTTCTGCATTTACAATATGCACTGTCTGATTCTGTAGTCTTGCACAGTTGTACCTATTGTAAATATTCTCATAGCTTGTATGGAACAATTGGTTTCTTAGATGCTTTTTGTCCATTTTTATCTTAATAGTATTCAGGACTGGAAAGCTTACTTAAAAACAGTGATTATAGAATATCATCCCACATGAAAAAGGACAAACAATTCTGATTTGCTTCTGAAAATTTGCCTAGTAAATTTGACTGTGCTTTAGGCAGTGAGGAGAAAGCTGCTTTCGTTTGAGTGGCTGCTCCACTGAGTTAGCACACTACAGAAACAAAGCAGAACAGATATAATGCCACTTGCAATTTGATTTTGCATCCTTTAAACCATGGAATTTTGGTTGAAGCTTAACAGCTGCTGCTCAGTGAGAGCTAGACTAAAGATCATAAAATGGATGTGTCTTAAACTTTACTTTTTGCATGTCAAAATTAGATAATCTGGTTTCGTCAGTCCCTTCTGTACTGTCACTGGTCTAAAACTAGACTAGATCAAACACTTCAATATTTTCTTACTACATATAAGTCTGTAGATGTTGTTGAGAAGGTAGAACCACTTCAGTGTTTCAAAAGTAGAAGATAAGCAGCAGCATATATGTCTGAAAACAAATTGTTATCCCATGGTTCTGGGGATCAATATGAACTAGGGACTAGTGTCCTTACTACAGTGATGTGGTGATCACATCACCGTAAGTACATAAAATGGATGAACTGTTTGAAGTGTTAACCACTTGCTTTAGTTATCAGTATTTCTACAGTGCTGAATAATAAAGTATTGAGAAGTGATTTTTCTTCCGTGAGAACAGTATCATGTGCTGCTTTGAGTTGCATCCACAAATTCTTAAGGACAAATTGAATATCCTTTAGAAAGCTAGTGCTCAGTTGAGGCATGTCTCTAAAATCCCTGAAATGGTTTCAAAATAGAAGCAGGATCAGAACCATGTCAGAAATAGATCCCTGTCAGAATCAGTTAGGTATGATTATTATGTATGATCGTGCCAGTTCCATTTTGGCTCTTTGCCAAGGTCATGTAAAACTTCATGGCACTGGAAAACATCTTTTACTTGTCAAAGAACTGGTAAATGCTGCCTTATTAATCACCCAACTTTACTACTTTTATTACAGTACTATTTCTGTATCAAGTCTGAATTCAAAGCTGTTTGGTCCTAACTTTGCTTCGGAGACTTTGTGTTAAATAGTCCTCTCCAAAAGGACTCAAAGGGATTAATGAGCACTACACTTGATCTTTCTCACAGATGTGTATATATAAGGGTTCCAGTAAACTCTTCAACTAGACAATACAAAGCAAAAATAACTTTTATAGAGTTGACACTATTTTAAACCTTTTTTTCACAGCAATTTCGAACAGGATGATTGAGCGAATCTTCTCAGGAGCAGTAACAAGGTACTCATTTTGTATACTGATCTAAATCCCATTTAGTATTTGCTTGTTAAATTGTGTGATATTCCCAAGGAAAAAAAAAAGCCTTCCCCTTGCAGTGAAGCAGAGAATTTCAAAATTTAGTATTGTAGCTTAAACTCTAGTAGTAATAGAGTGTTCTTGGAACCTTTGGCACAGTCCAAGTTCTTCGCTGTCTTTTCCCATATGGACACTTGCCATTGGACATTGGATGATTTAGCAGGACTGGGAATGAGGAAAGGAAAAAATGTTGGCATCATTTTTTCATTCCTCAAACCTGTAAAATGTTCAGAGGGAACGGGGCTGTTCAGTGCTGCCTGTAAAATCAATGCTTATCACATCAACAAATTTACAAAAATGCTTCTAGGTGAGTTAGTTCACATTTTTGACAGTCATTCTTCATTTCCCCCCACCTTGGATTGACTTTCTTGTGTGTATTTATGGCATTTTATTCATTTTTGAAACATTTTGCTAGCACAGGATCTGCAGCTGGAAAACAACTGATAAAAAGAAATAAAAGCTGAAGTGAGTGAGCTGACATTTGTCAGGCCTATGTCTAGAGCTTACTCCTTTGTGCAAGGTTTTGGGGCAAGACAAAGCACATACCATATTTTCCTAGACATCTTAGATGAACCAGCAAAAATTGAATTGTGGAATTGAAATGTGGTATGTCTAGGAACTGACTACCTGACCTCTGATCATTCATCTTCAGAGCCTATTTGGTTGCTGTGTTTGGTGGCATGAGAGTAGAAATAGACAGTTATGTTCTTGCCATGAACACTTATTTCCTCAATGGTTTTATTTCGTTTTTGTCTTCATATTTCCATTCCAACACTTTTAGCTAGTAGAATTCTGAAAAGCTTTAAGTTCTCACCACTTCTACCTGAAGAGAAATTCTGAAAAGCTTAGGTACTTGTGTATAATATATCATTTAAAATGTTAATTGAGGTCTTTTCTGGCCACAGTTAAGCAGTGGCATTGCAGCCTAGGGAGAAAAGCTGTAAGTCCTCCTGGACAGTATACCACCTTCCTCCCCAGCTGCTCCCTACCTCCTTTTCCATTGCATTAGAAACAGAAAAGAACACACAAGCTTCATGTCCTGAATGACCAGTGTAGTCTGTGGCACATCACCTTACAAACACTACATCATTTAGCAGCAGACAGTTAATAGCACCAAGGAAAATAACCCTTAATTTTGGTTAGTAAAAGCTAAGTGTTCTAAAATAAGTTTTCTATCTTTTTCTTCATTGTCCTTCCAGAGGCAGAAACGCACAAAAGGATGGGAAAATTAGCTATGCTGATTTTGTCTGGTTTTTGATATCTGAAGAGGACAAGAAAACACCAACAAGGTAAGAATGAATTTATGTTGTAACAGAAACAAAGACTGACTTTATTGCTTTTCCAGCCCTTCAGTGGGTATCACTGAAGCACAGCTGGAACTCTGGAAGAAGCTAAACTCTGAAAACATGAGTGGAAAACTGGCCCAGTTGGTTGCATCATTCTAACTTGTCAATGTCTCCTGTTGTTGCTGCTGCAGAAGTCTATTTGAATGACTTCAAAGAGGCTAATTCAATGCTACAGTTCCATACACTGTGCCCTCCTAACAGACAGGATCATACTCGAAGCAAATTGCAGTTGTTTCATGGTGCCAGTGACTTTGGGGAACTGGAGCTGTTGTTAGCTGTAGGATACTGATAGTAGACCAATTGTGGGATGTGTCACTGGCTTGTTCAATATGGCAAAGTCAAAAAACTTAAACTTTGATGCACAATTCTATTTTTCATTGGCTCCCTTGAGGTTTTACGTAAAACCATGTTTCGGCCATCTCCTTCACACACTCAAGTAACAAATGTGTTTTCAAATGCAATCATGGATAGCATGGCAAATACCAGAAACTCTTACCACAGTAGATAGTGTTTAATGATTTTCTATGGCATTATGGAATGTAGTCTTAAGTCTAATTTTGCCTTTAAAACTGACAACATGAATCCTTGAATTCTCTAGTAAAATGGTGTAAACATCTCTTTGCTGTGAATTCCTGCGTTTCAGCATTGAATACTGGTTCCGCTGCATGGACCTCGATGGGGATGGGGCTTTGTCTATGTATGAACTGGAGTATTTTTATGAAGAACAGTGCCAAATATTAGAGAACATGGCCATAGAACCTTTGCCATTTGAAGACTGTTTATGCCAGATGTTGGATCTTGTAAAGCCACAACATGAAGGTAATGAAATGCTTTTCCATCTGTAACTTCTGTTTCTCTGGATTAAGAGTGAGTGCACCCTTAAAAGCATTCAGCTGGTCATACAAATAATATGCCTTGAGGTTGTCATTTCTCTAAAGTCCTCCAACAGCAGGCAGGGATTCTTTTCAAGCTAAAACTTAATATGCTGCTTTAAAATTCCTTCTAAGCTTTTATTTTGGCCTTGTAGCCACGTTTAGTCTTAAGTGAAGTCTTGTCACTCTAGCTGAGGTGATGCTTACAAGAAAAGCTGTTGACTGTTCACTTGTCTCTTGCCTGTTCCAATACTCATTTAATTGAGATTTCTTCAGAGAGAACAATTTTTAAACAGTTTGTAGGTCAGTATTGACTTATTTTGCATTAGAAGCCTAAGCTGCCCTTAGGAAATCAATGACACAGGGCTTAAAATTTACTGAATAGTAAACTGTTGTGAGTTTTTGGCTAGTTTTTACATCTATTTGAACCTTCACAGACCTGCATTCTACTCTCCTGCATTTGACATACGTGATCTTTAGCTGATAATACTTCAGTTTACATGTTGTGATTCTTTGGCATGCTAAGGGAATTGAAATTGCTAAAAACTAGAATTTAAACCTTCATATTCTTCTTTTAAGTTAAAATGGATTTAGTAGGTGAAAACACATTTCTAAAGGCTGTAAGTGAAAAAATTGGGTATAATTCACCTGGAAGCTCAGTCCTTGATGTCAGTGGAATGAAGTCTTAGACCAACACTGTATAAGGCATAGGGGCTGGGGAGCATTTCAAATGAAGCTCTGAGGAGCACATTTTTGTTGTGTGGTTGCCTGTGGTGTCATCTCCTGAGCTCAGTAGTTTTCATCCAGTCTTGTTCGTTGTGCCTCTGACAGGCAAACATTTCCAGTAGTGTTTCTGTTGTGCATTTCAAGTGAAACAGGATTGATGTATCTGTTCTATGTCACGAGGATGTTAAAAGAAAGCTGTGAAACACAACCAAGATGAGTTATTTAGAGCAACAACAATGAAAGGCAATTGTGAAAGATTTTTTTTTTATATATATACATATATAAAAGCTGAATGATGTTTAAAAGGTGGATGAAGAAAAAATACTGGGTTTTTATATGAAAACTGTCAGCATAAAATGACATTTCACTTGGTAGGTTTGAAATGAAGACACTTTCATTAAGTTGTGGTTTAATTGTGATACAGTCTGCTACAGGATGCTCTGTGTACAAAAAAAGCAAGCTCTTTAATTTATAGAGACCTGAATTAATGACTTCAATTTCTTTATTTTTTTTTTGGTGGTGTTCAAGTGACAATGGTCAGCACCTACATGAGTGTTGAGTGAATAAATGGAAACTGGAGAGCAAATCAATGAACCAAATGTAGGAGTCTGACTTAAATTGGGAGCTCCTATAACTAGGACTGAAATCATTTGCTTGGCTGTGGAGAGTTGCTGCCACTTGAGATGGCCCAATGCATCAGACATCTGTGTGGGTCTGACAGATATGACACAGGTGCCACGGGGGATTTGTGTTGTTCTGGAGCACCAATAAGCCAGGCAGAACACACTAAGGCTCAAGTGTGGCAACCATTTCCAAATGGGATTGGGATTTTGCTTCCCTCTGACATCCTTGAGATATACTTTGTTAGAAACTGGGATAGTATGCTGAGGAAATGCTGTTCTAAGCCTGGCTTATATTGAACTCTGCCATAGCATCTCCAGTTAGCTCCTCTTTGATTGGCAGTGGAAGATTTTCTGTAGTTCAGGTGAATCAATAAAGGGGAGTTTTAAGGGTAGTCATCTGTCTTCCCCTGTATATCTCATATTTTCCAGTCTTTCTGCAGAAGCTTAATATTCAGCTTTGAAATAAGGAAACATTTCTGAGCAACCTGACAAATATGTCTACTGCTTAACAGATCTATAGATTTGAGTCTTTAAAGTGTCACTCTATAAAAATCACACAAAACACCTCTGAGCATTTAGCTTTCCCCTCAAGCAGTAAATATTGATCAGGCTGGACAAGTGTGGCAACCTAGTCTCTAGGAAAAATTCATCTGTGTGAGGTATAGTCACACACTGTCATCTGTCATACATTTGTCTGTTCAAGTCAGGGAAGAGAAAGGGCCACTGCCATGAGAGATTCCTCCCTGCTACCCAAGCACTCCTTGGAAAAGAATGGCTAAGCTCAGACTTGTGTCTCTTGATGAAGCTTAGGCCAACTATCTTATATGATATTTAATGGCTAGGTGAGGTAAACTGCATCTCACTCCAACATACCAAAGGTCAGTGGGATGACAACTAAAGCAAGGGACAAATCTGAAACACTTGAAACTTCTGTCCTCTTGGAAGGACACATCTCCAGGTGTGTATTTCATCCATTCACTTTTCTCCCATCGCATTGAGCATCGGTGACAAATCTTCTTGAGCAATGATGATTGAGTAATGATGACTTAACTTCTGAATAATGTTCCTCCTCTTTGGAGAAAGAATAACCTCAGCTCTAATTATTTTACCTCTAATTTTCTTATCTCCTAATCCTCTTTACAGGAAAAATTACTCTGCATGATTTAAAGCGATGTAAGATGACAAATGTGTTCTTTGATACCTTTTTCAACATTGAAAAATACCTTGACCATGAACAGAAGGATCAGTTTTCCATGTTGCGGGTGAGCATGAAGCTTTAAAAGTCCTTTTAGCTATGGTTCTTACCAATGAATGCTTTCTGTGTAACTTGCAACTGTGATTGTTTAGGATGGTGACGGTGAAAGCCAAGAGGTCTCTGACTGGGAGAGATATGCTGCTGAGGAGTATGATATCCTGGTAGCAGAAGAGGCAGCAAGTGACCAGTGGAATGACAGGTAAGAATGCAGCAGGAGGGTTGGTACAAATCCTCTCTGCTACAGCAGAGCCTCACCATTGCTATCCTTCATTTCAAAAAGGGGAAAACCATGACTATCCAAATACAGGCATGTGAGCCAAAACTGTTGTTACAGTAGAATATGCTTTTCTTTTTCCAAACCCTTGTTTTCAAGTGTGTAATTCAGTGAAGTAAAGCTTCAGATGACTTTTCTGTTCAAATCAGTGGTGAACTCATGGAAGAAACCTAAGGTGCTGCTGTTTTAGTGTTCATAATGGATTCTTAGTGTGTAACTCTTTGCCCTGTGTCTTTCTGTGAAAGGACACTTCTAATCACCACATAATGCCTTCAGAAAGCATGTTTGAAGAACAGGTACTGCAGTATCTTAAAGCTCATTCTCTGCCTAGTCCTGTTAAGTAGATGGAAATAATAATGTGCTGAGATGAGATTCCGTAGCACTTTGGGAAGTTGTGCATGAACCTGAGTCACCAGGAAATGGTCACTTCTTTAATTTGACACCATAAATCTCTACAGAGGCTTAATTTCTTTTTTAAGGCTATGAATTATAGATTGATCCCACCTAACACACTGTTGAAGCTAATCTTTTTTTAAATATCAGCTTTGACTGACTTGAGTTAGTTAAACATCCCATTTCATTATCCATCTGTTCACTTGTATCACCAGCAGGTGGTTACCAGTAATTTCTGGTTAAACAGTTGGCATTAGCTTCCCAACATCTGCTTACAAACATGGGTGCTATTGCTCTCTGGTGCTCACACACACTTTAATAAGGTTCTCAGTTCAGTATTCCTCCTCTTCTGTTCTATCTACTGCAACTGTATTTTGTTCTTCCTAACTGAGCCTCATTTCAACTTTCTTGAAAAGAACTTGAGGGGTTTCTGGCAAGTCCTTAAAGTATTGCATTGGACCATTTCTAACCTACAAGTAGTCCACTGGAACAGTATGTGCTTTGAATCCTTTCAGGAATGCTGCACATTGCTCTAGGCAGTTCTGCCCATCATGGGAGAGTAAGCTAGCTTCAATTAAATAATTATTGCAGGACCCTAGTCCTGCTTCTGGGTATGTTTCCTTACTGTAAACATAACATATTGCAAAGTATGTTCTTCCTGCAGGTGCCTTGGTATTGTTCCAACTTTTAGACACTCCTTGGCATAGCTAGACTATTTCTTTTTCTTACCTGCTTCTAGGTATGAAGCAGAACTGAATCCTGTAGACCATCAGAAGGCCAATGTCCTAAAGTATCAAATGCAAAAAGGACCATTTTTTGAAAAGCCTTCCCTTCTGGCTAATGTAGACTTGGATGACTACGACTCTGAAGAGGATTTTGAGTAGAGATTCCTTATGGTCAACACTTGCTGAAGAGAAGGGACAGTCTGCAGCAGGTCTGCTATACACCGATAAATTTCAGTGGGGTTTGTTCTCAGAAAGTCAGCTTAGTTTTGTGCTAAAATATTTAATCTCTACACTACCTTTGAAGGAAAAGAAGCGCATTTGTATGGAATGATGAAACTTTTTGTATTTATAAACTATAAACTGTTGAATAAAATAGATTAAAATATTTATTTACAGATGTTGCATAATTCCTTTTTTTGGAAGAATAACAATATTTGACTTTAGAGAAAAGTAATCTACTGTGTTTAAGAGAAGTGTATCATTCTCTGGAAGTTGATGTGAGGTGCACTGACCATCTCTGTCCCACCTGTGAACAGGTGTTTCTGTCCTGCTGTGGGAGGTAAGGAGACAATTTATACCTGGCCTGCAATGTGCTTATGCTCATAGACAGCCCTGGTGGGTTTCTGCCTGGGTGAGGAAGACATGACTGGGTGCACGATTCAGCACTCATTTACAAGCAGAGTTTTGTTTGACAAGCTGAGCATATTAGTAGTACACAAGGAAAGCAAATGCTCAAGACAAGTTGCTTCTCTTCTCTGTGTAGTCCTTGTTTGCCCCAACTTTAATTCTGCTTGCCCTGTTAAACTTCAGTTTTTTCATTGATGTTAATCATGAAAAGATTGTTTCATAATGAAGTCTGTTTTAGTGTTCATACTTGATCCAAATTGAGTGTGTTAATTCATGTAGAAGGAACCAATTTTTTTTTAAAATCCTTTGTATAAATGTTACTTGATCAGTGATGTGCACTAATTTGTTGTGGGCATTCAGTGTTTTTGTCTGTCCCCCCTTTGCTCGTTTGCTATTGACACATTCCATGGATATTCATCAGTGTCACAGCAGCTTGAAATTGTTGCCTCACTCTTAACTGTTCAACAGATTTTTGTTGGGGAAAGAAAATGTACAAAAAGATGTAAGTTATTTTTTTGGTTGCAGTGTAGATCTTTTAAAAATCTTTTAAAAAACATGTTTGTATTTTCAAATAAAGATTTTCATACATGTAATTTAACAGTTCTAGTTGTTATATCCTGCACACAATTCATGTCTTACTATTAAATCAGGATTCCCCATTCACAGTAGGATGGGTTACACCAGGATGCAGTGTGGTTGGATAATTACAATGAGCTGCATATTCCAAGCAATCAGCCTCTAGCAGGTTTTGCTTCTGTTGGGGCAGAGAACTCTGCCCTGCTTAGCTCATCACACCATCTCCTGTACAGTTGAGCCACACAGGTGTGTAAGTACTGAAACTTGTTGCTAAGGTGTTGGTGAACCTTACTGAGGAAAACTCAAGTCATTTTAATACCCTTCAAAGGAGTCTTAAAGAAGAAAATTGGGGTTGATTATTCCACTTTTACTGGAGACTTTCTCTGCTGTTGGCTGGATACCTTTCACTACTTGCCCATGGTTTGGGGCTTTTAAACAAGTAAAGATAAACAAAGCATTTATTATGTTAAGCTCTGTTCTCTCAGGTGCTGTGGGAAAGGATGACCAACTGGCTTTCAGAAGCTGATCCTGAATATGTTGCAGTTGAAGAGGTGGTGGCCTCCTGCTTTTTCCTACCTTGAAACCCCTCTTAGAAAGGGACTTGTAACTAGGCAAGGAGCAGCCACAGACTTTCTCAGCACAGTGATGTTTCTGTGTTACACAGAGCTATGGTGCAGGTCAGTCTCTTCCACAGAGCCTGCAGCTGCTGTTGCCACTTTGTGTTTAACAAAGTGCCTGTTAAATCCTACTTTCTATTATCCTTGTGATAACCAACTCCCTTCTTTCCTAAGCAGAGCAAATTATGTTGTTGTAGAAGTGGCTTTTCTTACAATACATGAACTATAAAGATTACTGTACCTTTCCCAAACAGGGTCTTTCCCATCCTTAGCCTGTTGTCACAAGAATTAAAGCAGCTATATGCTTGATGTGGTCCCAGGTAAAACTGTTTGCTTAGTCAAGCTGTATTCTGCTGACCTGGTCAGTAGATCTCCAAAACTCTAGATGGATGAGGGAAACAACTCTTACAGTCCAGGTCTGGGGAGTTACTGAGCAAGTCCCAGGACACTGAGAACCTCCATTATCTTGGGAGTGCTACCTCACCCCTTGCATTAGCCTACTGCCCACCCAGCTATGCCAAAGGAAACACCATGGGTTTACTATTGCCACTTCAGAGTACCCATTACCTGGGAGACAGTCATGGCTCTCACTTCCATGCTCATGGAAATTCCTGTCTCAGCCTGCTGAAAAACAGAACCAAGGTGAAGTTCAGCATGCATTGCAGCCATTCTTTCTCCAGACACAGTGTGGGAGTATCACTTGCATGTTCAGTACTAACGAATAGAAGTAGTTCTGTAGTTTATTTTACAGTTACAATGCAAAATATATATATAAAAAATAAAGCTGATAGGATTACTGCAATGTACAATTCCATGGAGCAGTGCCAAAGTCAGTGCAGTGAAAGCAGCTTGCACTCCCCAGCCTACTGCCTCTGAAACACTCTTGAGTGAAGATCAACTGCAGATTCTTCATGAAAAAACCCTACTTTTGAATGGCCATATATACAGTCTATTTACATTGTCTTTCCAGGCTTTATCTGTTCCAAGTAAATACCACATGATCACTGTGTATGAAGGATTTCTTTCAGAGGAAAACAGTCAAGTGGTCTGCTGGTTTTTTCTTTGCTACTTTGAAGCCTTGATGCAAGTCTCCTGGGAACATGTCCTGATGCCCACAGACCACTAACCACGTATCTCTGTACAACAGAATTTAGAAATACTTTCAGATGATTTGATCCAGGTTTTCTGTTTTACAGGCAGGAAATGGCACCTGCCATCACCCAGCAGGGCACAGTGTTCACAGCTGGGCCAGGCTCCTTTCTCCCCAGTGTCAGGTACAAGGAAACAAGTAAGGAGATGCCCATCTTGGTTATCTCAAAGATAAAGAACACATCCAGCAGAACACTGCTCCTGCCCTGCTTCATGCAAGCTTGTCTCACCTAGTTCACAGAGTCTTTGATTCAATACTTGTCAATACCCTGATTCCAATCCTTCAGTTGGGAATTCTTCCAAGGCAGCATCAAGGACAAGGATGCAGTTGAGTAATGACACTCATTAACACCCACAGCCTTAGACACATAACTGCCACATCACTACCACCCACGAAGCGCAATGGGCAGAAGTCAACGGCAGTGCTGTGAACTGCTTCTGGGGGGATGGACACAGGCAGTGACCTGACTTGACTGGTGTCTCCTCTTGCCTTGGTCGATGCCCTCACAATCCCATTTTCAGTTTAACAATTTGCAGGGGAAAAAAATGGCCGTGTGTTCTTCACTTCCATTTATCCTCTCAGTGTCTTAACTGGCCTATACCATAAGAAAGAAAGATTAAGTCAGTCTCATACTATAAGGAAGACATCACATAAGAGCACATAAGGAATTAGTGTAGCACCTAACTATCCAGTAGCTTGGCCATAGAGGCAGCTCTTGGCAAGAACTATATTTAGCTTCCACAAAAGGAAAGAAACATTTCTGTGCCACAAGGAGCACTGAAAAGGCACTACAGGGAAAGGCCACATACTAGGTAAGTAGGAGGGCTGTGATTAGCTGCAGTACAGGAACACTCGTGGCCTCTTCCCTCCCTGCTGCTTTCCTTTTGGTACAGTCAGGCTGCAAGGGCTCTGCTATACAAGACCCTGTTTGAGTCCTTGCACTCCACTGGCCCAAAGGGCTAAATGTCCTTCCCAGCTACAAGTATCTATTCCAGGGCTGAGCTGAGGCCCAGGCAGAGCTGCAGCTCTGCCAAGCTTTGACCCCAAAGGCAATTGGTGCCCACAAGACAACCCCCTGGCTACACTGGCTGCCCACAATGTTCTCATGCTTCCCTTCAAATCCCCAGCTGGTTTGGGGACAATTTAACCTGCTTAACAGCCTTGACTGGAAAAGGGCAAGAAACAAGGGAGAGTCCAGTGAGAGCCCTGGGCTGACCAGTGATCAGACACATTCCAAGTCTCTCAATCCAAAGAGCACAATGCAAACACCATTTCTGGAGCAGACATTCCCTGCAAGCCATGCAGCAGAGCCATCTCTGCAATGTGTCAGTAACACCAAACAACTGCAGCAAATGGCTCTTAATCAGGAAGGTTCACAGTATGGGAAAAAAGGAAACAGGATCCTCCTCCTAATGCATCTTAGCTGGTGTTCCATGTACCTAAGGATGCTACAAGAAGAGTTGCCTTAAAAATGCAGATCAAGGTGAAGGAGGAGACTACAGCTGCAGCTGGAAAGGGAAGAGGGGAATCCTCTCTTTCTTATCTTGGAAGGAGCCACAAAAGAACAGCCCTTGTGCTGCTACATGTGTACTCAGGAGACTCTGACCTCACATTCACACCTCAAATACAGCTGTCCTTGGAGCTGAAAAACCTAAGCCAGAATTACCTGCTCTGCACCAATGACATCAACATCCACATCTTCAACTGTGTCTTCTACTTGACCCTCCTCTGAGACATCTTCTGTCTTAATCTCATCTTTGCTGGAAGACAAAAAAAAAAAAAGCTGTCTTGAGAAACTTCATAACAGAGGCTGCACATTGCACAAATGTGCTTAAGGCAGAGTACTGCACATATTAAAATCTGCTGCTGAGATATCCATGTAAGGTAGCCTAAAGGTACTGGCCTGGAATTTTCCAGGTATGAAAGAGGTTATGGTCTGAGGAATTTACAATAAAGCAGTTCAGAAATGAAACATTATTAAACATGAAGGTCACCCCTATTTAATTTTTTGTTCTATTTTACTTGTATTTACCAGATATATTTAACAAGTGTCCCAAAACCTGGAAAAGTATGCATCTTTCCAATGTGGGAAATGGCCAATAAATGAAATGTGTTAAAGGACAATACTGCAGCTGAACACTTGTATTGCTTCAGAGAGCTCAAAAGTAGGGTCCATACTCTGTGTTCCT